TGCACACATCAAAGTTAAGGACACCATCTCGTTAACTTTTTTATTGCACACATCAAAGTTAAGACACCATGCCCTTAATATTTTCACTGCACATATCAAAGTTAAGGACACAATGTCCTTAACTTTTTCACTGCACACATCAAAGTTAAAGACGCCATGTCCTTAACTTTTACAATACACACATCAAAGTTAAGGACACCATGTACTTAAGTTTTTCACTACACACATCCAAATTAAGGACACCATATCCTTAACATTTTCACTGCACACATCAAAGTTAAGGATAACATGTCCTTAACCTTTACAATTCACACATCAAAGTTAAGGATAACATGTCCTTAACCTTTACAATTCACACATCAAAGTTAAGGATACCATGCCCTTAACTTTTACAATGCACACATCCAAGTTAAGGACAACTTGTCCTTAACTTTTACAATGCACGCATCAAAGTTAAGGACACCATGTCTTTAACTTTTTTACTGCACGCATCAAAGTTAAGGACACCATGTCCTTAACCTTTACAATGCACACATCAAAGTTAAGGACACTGTGTCCTTAACCTTTACAATGCATACATCAAAGTTAAGGACACCATGTCCTTAACTTTTATAATGCACACATCAAAGTTAAGGACACCATGTACTTAATATTTTCACTGCACACATCAAAGTTAAGGATACCATGTCCTTAACATTTTCACTGCACACATCAAAGTTAAGGATACCGTGTCCTTAACTTTTTCATTGCACACATCCAAGTTAAGGATACCATGTCCTTAGTTTTTTCACTGCACACATCAAAGTTAAGGACACCATGTCCTTAACATTTTCATTGCACACATCCAAGTTAAGGACACCATGTCCTAAAGTTTATAAAACAGACTAATAAACTCTTTTTGATTGTTTACCTGTTGTTGTCGTCTATCTTTATGTTAGTGTATGTTCCCGGATTTTTACTTTTCATCATATACAAGTATGAAGACAATAATTCATAATTCTCTTCAGGAGTTCCTCTTATTAAAGTTGAAGCACGTTGAATAGCACGCCACGCCTTGTGATAACCAATGTCTAGTCCATGCAATTTTTGTATTTCTGCCATGACAAAGGCTGGTATAACTTCAAACCTTGGGTCTCGAAGATTGTCGATAATGTAACCACTAATCAACTTTGAAGTTGCATGCATTTGATCAGCTTTCATAGTGTTAACTGAGCAGTCATGATTTTTCTCAATCTTTACTATCTTGAATAGTGTTGAATCTTTAATTCTGAAAGCACGCACACACCACCCACACCTATCATCATTGCATTTCAATGAATATCTTGTTGAGATTGACCTAACAACCTTGAATTCAAAATGTCCTTTAATTGCTATATTGGAAAAACAGTTAATTATACTCTTCTTTTTGTCAAATATTGATCCTACTTTTATTTCATCTAACGAAGCATTTTCTCTTAATATCGTAGTTGGGGATTCTTTTTGTTTCGAATTTGAGCTTTGCATAGTTAGTTGAGTAAATGTTTTTTCAGCAACTTTTTCTATTACCGGTGCACTCTCTAAGACTTAAATACCCAAAGCTTGTTCGTTGTCAATCTCTATAATGCTTTGTCATTCCACTTGAATAGAATCAAATGTTTGAAGCACCTCTTCAGTTATTGGTTGAGCTTTAACCACATCTATTTCCATTATCTATTGGCATTTGTCTTTATTATCTTGTTGAGTTTCTGTATTGATATGTTCAAAGGTGCTTGTAGAATTAAAAATTCTTTCCGAAATATCAACAATGAAACGACAGCCCTTGAAGAGTGAATGACTTTTTAGTAACTCTATACATGTGTGAAGATCTAAATCTTTGGATACAAGCATTCCCTTGCTTGTTCTCAGATTGATATCAAACCATATCATTGCTTCAAACTTGTCTCTATCCAATTCAATAACTTAAAAGACATGGTTAATGAAATTTTCAAATCGAATTACCTCAGGTACTAGAACAAGCTTTGTTTGATGATCAAGATACTTATAGTTTGCACTCCATCTACCATTAAAAGCAACTATAATACATATTGTATCCATCCTGCAAGTCAAGAAAATGGAAAATTCAGGACATATTTATACAACAATCGTGAAGTTAAGGACAAGATGTCCTAAACTTTATCAATACAAGTTGTAAAACACAGGACACTATGTCCTTAAAATTTAGAACAACAATCAAAATGTTAAGGACATGGTGTCCTTAACTTGGATGTGTGCATTGTAAAAGTTAAGGACATGGTGTCCTTAACTTTGATGTGTGCATTGTAAAAGTTAAGGACAAGTTGTCCTTAACTTTGATGTGTGGAGTAAAAATTTTAAGGACAAGCTATCCTTAACTTTGATATGTGCAGTGTAAATGTTAAGGACAAGCTATCCTTAACTTTGATGTGTGCAGTGAAAATGTTAAGGACATGGTGTCCTTAATATTTAGAACAACAGTCATGAAGTTAAGGACATCGTGTCCTTAACTTTATTAATATAATTTGCAAATACAGGACACTATGTCCTTAATGTTTAGAACAACAGTCATGAAGTTAAGGACATCGTGTCCTTAACTTTATTAATATAATTTGCAAATACAGGACACTATGTCCTTAATGTTTAGAACAACAGTCATGAAGTTAAGGATATCGTGTCCTTAACTTTATTAATACAAGTTGTAAAACATAGGACACTTTGTCCTTAATATTTTTTTAGAACAACAGTCATGTTAAGGACACCAAATCCTTAACATTATGTCCTCAATATTTACAGAACAATCACAGAGTTAAGGACGCGATGTCCTTAACGTTATCAATATAGAAAAGAAAAAAAAAAATCAAATTCCTAGCATTTTATTCTTCAGTAACGAACTAAAAATCTACACAAACACACAAAAGCATATAGAGATATCTGAAACTTTAGAACTTACTGTAATTTTATGGTGAATTTTGGACGAGAAAGTTGAATTTTGAACTTAGACAAAAAGTTTGAAATCGGAAGAGAAGTTTCTGCAATTTTGGACGATCACAACAATCCTCTGCACGTAAGTTTGCACGTAAGTTTGAGCTGCTGCTGATCGTAAATAAGGAGCGTATGCATCAGCGAAATCCTATATAGTAGAAGGGTATTTTCGTCCGGACGGGTAAAAGTTTATTAAAGCAGTGGCTAAAGACTAAATATATTTAAAATAGTGGCTTAAAAGTAAATACATGTGTTATTACTGGCTATATGTGCACATCGCCCCAAATTTGATGCTTCTAATTCGGGTCACAGCCCAAGTTCGTCGTAAATATAAAACCCTTCAGAAAATCCACAATCCCGCAAAAAAAGAGAATCCCACTGAAAAATACCGTTCCCTCCAAATCTCTACAAACCCTCGTAAAAATCCCCAAACTCCACAAAAACCCCACGCAACCGCACACACTCAGAGAGCGAGAAGGGGAAAAAATAAAATCCAAAGGGCAGTGCTGAAATCCGTGTAATGGGGAAAGACGAGGATGAGATGAGAGGTGAAATTGAAGAGAGGCTGATAAACGAAGAGTACAAGATTTGGAAGAAGAACACACCTTTTCTTTACGATCTGGTTATTACCCACGCGCTTGAATGGCCTTCACTCACTGTCGAATGGTTACCGGACCGGGAAGAGCCGCCAGGAAAAGATTATTCTGTTCAGAAGATGATTTTGGGGACCCACACATCCGAAAATGAGCCGAACTATCTCATGCTTGCTCAGGTTCAGCTCCCTCTCGAGGATGCTGAGAATGATGCCAGACATTATGATGATGATCGGTCTGAATTTGGCGGATTTGGTTGCGCCAATGGCAAGGTTTAAATCTTTTCTAATTTTTGACTGTTATGTGGATTTCCCTTTTCAGTGTTCTGGGAGTTTTTATATATACAGGTGTAAAGGTCTTAAATTTATGCGATTTATTTAATTATACTAGCTCTGAGGTTATGTGACAGATTATGTGGCCTACAGTTGTCTCCTTTGCAGCTTATTTAGTAGGGTGTAGTGAATTGAAAGTTGACTAGTTTAACTCTTGGTTTTCAGCTTAAGGTAAATTTAAAAATTTACCAAAAGAGAAAAAAAGGTGCCGAGCACAATTAGCACCCAAAGCACAATATTTTCTGATTCAGTGTGGCACCTAACATGCTAATCTCTTTTGGAAGAGTGAAGTATTTGACTGACACATTCTTGTTGAAGTTCAATGTGCTGTTGTAGTTTGAGTTTTCATCGTTCCTCTGCTTCTTCCTGAGTCCTGATATTGTTGAAATATCTCTTTTTATAAGGAGGCCACTTGAGGCTATAATATGAATAGTGGTGCTTGAAGCCCAGCTCAGTAATGTTTTGCTGGTAGCTTAGGTGAAATGGCTAGTAACAATTAGCTAATGCTTACTGCTTTGGTTAGAATTCTAAAACTGTTGGTTATGTAGCTCCACACTACTGAATACAAAGATTCTAATGACAAACCACATTGTTTTGGGAGAGAATTAATAAAGTTTTGAATTGCCAGCAGAGGAACTTCGAAAAGCTTCTTATGTGAATATCATTTATGCCTATGTCCTATTGGTGTAGATTGATGTTACTGTTATAAGAAGTTATTGTTGGCATGTGGATTCAATAGAAATTTGATAATGAATTCTCTATTGGGACATGGATCCCTAAACTCTAGTTGTCTGAGAAGTCTTTTAAAATGGGCTATTGGTGCCAATTCAGATCGTTTGGAGGCCCCATTTCCACATTTTTTTGCTGTGCTATTATTTCCCCATCAACATCAGAGTGAACTTGGTGTATCTCTTTTAACATTGACTGATATTTATAATGACAAATATTTCTCTTTCAGGTACAAATAATCCAACAGATAAATCATGACGGAGAGGTTAATCGGGCTCGATATATGCCCCAAAACTCATTCATCATCGCGACTAAGACAATTAGTGCTGAAGTTTATGTTTTTGACTATAGTAAACATCCATCTAAGCCTCCTCTAGATGGTGCATGCAATCCAGATTTGAGATTAAGAGGCCACAGCACAGAGGGCTATGGTTTGTCGTGGAGTCAATTTAAGCAGGGTCATTTATTGAGTGGTTCAGATGACGCTCAGATATGTTTATGGGACATCAATGCCACTCCCAAAAATAAGGCTCTAGATGCTATGCAGATATTTAAGGTATGCCTTATGCTTTCTTGACGAATCTGCATAGCTTACTGCCTTGGTGCACTGCATATTGTTGTCACTTTGTTACTCTGCTTACTGCTTGTAGTTTTGTCTCGTGAAAGTAACTATAATTGATATATGGAGAAGACCTTGCATACTATCCTTCCAGCAAACATCCTCAGGCACCTTGGAAGTAAAAGAAGGGAACTGAAGTAGAATAGCACGAGTTCTCTTCACAGACCACATAGCCTTTGTAATTAATATCATGTTACAAAAGGCAAACTGAAACTTCCAATAGTGTCCCAACTTTTACCTCAAAGGATATTTAGAGTTGGCAGTCACATCATCTCAGCTTTTTGCTGCCTGAAGTTTCAGTCGACCGATCCTGGAAGTCTTGTCTCTCGGATTATTTTCTCATTATGATTTTGTCAACCTTTCTTGATTTATTCTAATATTTGAAATGTATAGATTCATGAAGGTGTCGTAGAGGATGTA